CCTACGCTATACATATACACCATTGCCATACATATACACCTCCGCCATATTTTATTATATATACGCCGTTATACATACACCCCCACTATACATACACATACACCCCCACTATACACTTCCCCACTATACACATACACCCCCACTATACATACACCCCACTATACACATACACCCCCACACTATCATACACTTTACTATACACATACACCCCACTATACATACACCCCACTATACATACACTCCCACTATGCACATACATATACACACATACACCACTATATACACATACACCCATACACTATGTGTCACATACCCCACTATGCACATACACCCCATATGCACATACTTTACCATACACATACCCTATATACACATACACCCTATGCACATACACCCTACTATACATACACACCCCACTATACACACTGTACACATACACCCCCCACTATACACATACACCCCCACTATACACATACACCATACACACACACTATACACATACACATACACCACACCACCATACACATCACACCCTATACACAATACACACACACCATTATACACCCCTGCTATACACATACAGACAAAATACTTTAGACACTGTGGACAAATACGAACCACTGAGTCACGTAGGTCACGGCAGGTTGTGATTTTAACGTGATATACTTAAAGAATATTTTTACTTATTTGTATTATTGTATTTTTCGTTGTAGTCTGATATAATGTAACGTGAAAAATTGCGTCCAAAAGCTATGTATTAAATCAATCACCTGTTCACCAGCTATAGATCAATCACATAAATGCTCAACAGGTATATATCAATCACTTTTATGTTCAATAGTTAAATATCAACCCCATAACTCTAAAATAGATGCCACATATTTACAGGTTATTGAGGGAGTCCCAAATCTAATTCTCAAGGCACACACAAACATAAAATGACGTATGTTGAATGGATAAACAAACACTAGTCTTCACCCAACTCTGTACAACCAACTCATATGGCAGGAGACGGCGCTACCAATACCACTAAAACCACCACCGATACCAGCTATACTGCCAATGGGTAAACGCTCCAACACAAAAAATTCGACGTACTGTATACCTCTTGACGTGTGGGGTATAGCGCATCTCAGCTCAAAAATCGTACGTCACCCCCCCCCCCCCCCACCACACAGAAGCCCGGGTTAACGATGATCTGATTGTAGCTTGTGATCTGTGCTGTTAACTATCGATGAATTAGCCTGTGGTTTAGCTATCAGGGGTGTGGTGGACGAGCAGGTACAGCACTGATCTCATTTCTTGTGAACCTTAAGACAGGAGGTGGGGTGGTAGCTATCCAGACAGAAAGGACAGAAAGGTTATTTGGTTTTGATTAATGAGTAGAATGCTTAAGAGTTCCAATGGCGTCAGAGGTTAGGTTTATAGACTGTATAGTGTGTGTGTGTTGCAATCGATCTATAATCAATCATGTGACCTATAATTTGGGCATTAGTCTAAAATCTATACTTATAACCTATCATATAATATTTCATACAAACAGACCAGTGCATTAAGATTTTCACCCAACCAAGAGAATATATTATCTTGTTCAGGTATAGCCTCAAACGGTATCCGACGCCATTTTAAACGCCATGTTTGTACCGCAGCTGAAATGAGTCATACATTCTCGAATCTCTTCTTTTTTTTTTTTTAAGAGAGCGTCTGTTGTACGTTTGTGTATTTTTCCGTCGGGGTTAAAAAACCAGTCCTTTGTTTGTTTTGGGGGTTAATTATTACTATTATTATTAGTGTGTGTGCGTGTGTCCTCCTCGGCCACTTTTTTTGTACACTCGCACCAAAAAGTATCGGTGCAGGGTGAGATCGACGACTTCCGAAACGATACGTATACACTGTGATATGTCGGGAAGGTTGGTAAGTGTATCCTCATAACCCCACCCACCTCCCACTAGGTGTTGCCACAATCAGTGTGTTTGTTTCCTCTTTTCGGATTGTTGCTTTGTGTCGACTGAATGATGAGCGAGGGTTAGGTCTCGGTGAACGTGGGTATAAAACAGAGGCAATATGAAGCAGTAGAGATCTACACATGCCAGACGACATGGAAACCTCAGAGGGAACACGAGGAGCTATTGTCCTTCATAAGGAAGGGTTCGGCGTCACAAATATTAGCCGGCGGGTTGGTGTCCACAGGAACACCGCTGCACGATGGATTCGGCGATACCTCGAAACTGGTGCTACAGACGACAGGTCTCGGAGCGGCCGTCCACGCTGCACCACCCCTCAGGACGACCAGGTTGAGTGGTTTATTTGGTAGCATAAATTAATGTGGCAATATTCACAAGTATCACAAATAATTTTGTTAACAGGGAGCTCCTCATATTTCATACTGTCTATTTATCACTTCCCGACCTTATTTATAACGGTTTGTTTCACTTGACCAGGGCTGCCAACATACGGCTGGAACAACTCGCCTTTCCCAATACCTATCGTCACTGGTCTCAAATTGTTCACACTACAGTATGCACCGATACTTTTTGTTGCGAGTGTACATATACTGTAGTCACTTCTTACGGTCAATCTCAACCTGGTATGATGATCTTCCAGGGAGGACATGGCGGTTGGTGGGTACTGTCTGACGCACGAAACAAATAATGGTTGCCCTGCGTGTACGAAGATGGCGGGCCCAAGGGCCACCTAGGGGTGAATTTGTTTAAGGTGTAGAGCTGTCGCCAACACAACAACCACACCCTGAGTTAACGAGTTGCATGACCCAGTGTCAAGGAATAGTCTAAGAAGGCCGGACAACTGTTTTGGCTAACTATTACCCGGAACACGAACCGCAAATCGATGAATATCCAGGTTACTAATTACTGCTGGGTAGACAGAGGAAAATGGCGCAAAGAAACTTGTCCATAGTTCCAACCTGCCCGGGGATCGAACCTGGGTCCACTCGCTTGGGTCGCCACGAAAAAGTCTTCCCATGCCGGGAATCGAACCCGGGCCTCCTGGGTGAGAGCCAGGTATCCTAGCCACTAGACAACATGGGATATACGAGACACACACACCTTAGCGGCCCCAGTCCACTCCCTTAACCCCCCCCTCCCCCTTTCTGTTGTTATCCCCTACCCTCACAGCCACCTTAGGAGGGCACGACATTCTAAAATCATGTTTGACAATGTTAGGGCCAAAAATGTAACAGAAGTTGGTATATTTCTGGACTGACGACCTTAGCCGCATTGTGGTATACGAAGTGGGGAGGGGGAACACCTCTGATGGTGTTTATGTTTACGAAGAAGGGAATTAATTTTTATCCCACATAATCAGTAACACTATTGCTGTAACGTTACCATCTTTTCCTAGGCTCTTGTAGTTGAGTCTATGTGAACGATGAAGATGCATTCTATATCAGCCACACTTCACAATTCTCTGAGATGAAAGTTAAAATATTTTGTTCAACCCAAACGAGGAAATTATGCACATGGAATTCGGTTCGTGAAACAAATGGAATTTACTTCTATTGTGGACGGCCACGCCAAGTCTAGTGTGGGGTGACTGTCTTTATTATTACTTGGTTGTGTCAGATAAATGTCTTAATTATACCATTTAAGACGAATTTTTGTAGTGGAAACATTCATTAATCCTGATAAATCAATATAAAGTTGGTTTCTTTCCGTAAAACCTCTCGCTTTTGAATCATGTCCGAACTTATGTCAACAAAACACTGCTGCTAAGTGACTGTAACACCTGCTGGATAAGAAGAAAACCACGAGGTTCTATGGTGTACAGTACATCATCAATCGTAACTTGGCTTCACTGCATAAATAATTCCCTCGGGGGGCGGTATCCAAGCTGGGTTCTCTTACAAGACGCCGAAATGTACATAAATGTCGCTGTTCTTACAATTCATGTTGGCTGTATGGCGGTGCAGTACCCAAAGGAATGAAATATAAACGAGGAAGAATAATGATAAATGAAGTACAGGAACATTAGTTTTGTGGGAGGACGTTATTATATGGTCTAGGCGGCATCCACTATCGTCCTGAGCTGTAGAATGTCGACGAAATATACGAGTCTGAATGTGCATGTCATCTGTTGGTTCTATGACTCGTTTAATAATGTGTAAGAATGAAATTACACGGAGACAGAAGAAAAATATTAAATGGAGTGAAAAACTGTATATATCTTTGCATGGCGGCAGTTGTAGAAAAAAAATTATATTTAAGATGTAAACATATTCGACGAGCGACCGCCATTTCTCTATATGACACCAAGACTCAGTATGTCGAATTATACCGTAAAAAAAAAATAAATACACCTCACCCAAGTTGACTGTGTGATAGTCTCGTATCTTGGGAGAATGAAATTGATACAGACAGACAAGAGAAGTTTAGTGAGCAACAGAGCGCCAGGAACTAATATAATTTTCTCTCCTGAAAATATCGTGATTGAGAAACAGTGATCGTGACGTCACAACCAATCAGTGGCCGATCTGTGATAACGTGACAAAACATGATTTTTTGGGGAGTGATGAAACCGACAAGCTTACAAGTAAAATTGGTTAAAATGACTGCTACTATTCAATCCCGCATGTCAAAAACTATTACTAAAATATATGTATATCTTTCAGTGACATGAATCTACTCCATAATGGAAAATAACTCTTAAAGAACACTTGAAATGGAACACAAAACGCGGACTGAATACGTTGACTAGAAAAGTGTAATATTTATTGTCAATTTAACCCCTTGAGTGCAATGACATTAACCCCTTGAGTAATACGTCATTAACCCCTTGAGTAATACGTCATTACACTCAATGGGTTAAGGTACTGTACTCAAAGGATTGGGTCATCGTACTCAATGGGTAAGATATCTTCCTTATCGGCTACTTCATTGCACTCAGGGGAGGACACTACTCAAAGAGACTAAAGAGTGCACAAAAACACTAAACACAATGTAAACAAACAAAGACATAACAAAAACAAACATTAAAACTCATACCTGATTTTCTTCATGTTGTGATTGTTGTTGTTGTTGCTGATGCTGCTGTTGTTGTTGTTGGATGTGGTCGTGAGGTGTGGGCGGGGAGTGTGGGGGTAGGGCGTGGGGTGGGTGGGAGGTAGGTGGGTATGGGTCGTGGTGTTCGTCATTATCCGAAACGCTGGTCTCATCCGGTGGCGGCGATTTCAGTCCGTTGAATGACCTGAATTCCTGCCGCTTGTAGGCCGCCCGCGCGTTCTGTGGGAGAGCCAGATACGGAGTTAGTGACCTGTGATCTACTTTTGTGACCGGTGATCTGTTTTAGTGACCTGTGACCTGCCTTAGTGACCTGTTTTAACATCACTGACTTTTTACTTGCCTTTATTGACCTGTGACCTGATTTAGTTACCTATGACCTGTTTTAGTGTTGTGACCTGCCTTAGTGACCTGCTTTAGTTACCTATGATCTGCCTTAGTGACCTGTGACCCGCTTTAATGACCTGTGACCTCATCAGTATACAATATAATACACATTTTGTAATTTAATCTCAACAATATACACTGACACGCAAAATGAATTTATATGTATACACAATTTTCTAAGGATAACAAACTGTGCTTCATATAAAAGACATCAATAATAATAATTTGAAAAAGTATATTGGGTTATAAAATGAAAGTAAAAAATAAGTTATATGAAGGTCAGAAAGTTACCTTAACCTAACCTAACCAAACTTATGCTAATTTTGCCGTAACAAACCGAACCTAATAGAACTTAACCTAGCAGAACTAAACCGAACTAACTTAACCGAACCTACCCTCCTCTATCGTTATCAAACCTAACCTTCCCTAGCCTATCCTAAACAACCCGACGTAAACCTAACCTAACCAACCTACCCTCCTCTATCCTTATCAAACCTAACCTTCCCTAGCCTATCCTAAACAACCCGACGTAAACCTAACCTAACCAAACCTAACCAAACCTTATTTAGGCTAATGAAACAAAAATGCGACTATATCCTGTCACTTTTTGCCCCAAGCAACATTGTGACTTCTTTCCCTGAACCTCAAAAATATGATGTCAAATTACAATCACGGTCTTAATAGTTAATATAATATCTCAATTATTAAACAATGGGTGACGTCACAATACATTACGCTTAGTTTTTTGTATGACTCGTAGAGGCCCAAGACTTTAGTGTGTGTGTGTGTGTACAGGTGTGTGAGCATGTGAGTGCATACAGGTGTCTGTGCGTGTGTACAGGTGTGAGTGCGTGTGTACAGGTGAGTGTGTATATACAGGTGTTTGTGTACAGGTGAGTGTGTACAGGAGTGTGTGTGTGTACAGGTGTGTGTGTACAGGTGTGTGTGGGTGTGTGTACAGGTGTGTGTGTGTGTGTGTGTGTGTGTGTGTACAGGTGTGTGTGTGTGTGTGTGTGTGTGTGTGTGTGTATGTGTACAAGTGTGTGTGTGTACAGGTGTGTGTGTGTGTGCAGATGTATGTATGTGTACAAGTGTGTGTGTGTGTACGGGCACGCTCCTGGTCTCCGGATATAAGATGCTCAAAGTCGAGGTGTTCCAATTAGCGGCACCTAAAGTAAGGCAACAAGATTCAACCCCCCAGCAGCGACGTATAACCTGGAGGAGTTCTTTGTCCCTGAGAGCTGGTTACACCGTCTTAAAGAACCCGCTACAGATACATCCACCAAAGACCCTAATGATAGTCTCTTATTAAATGCCCCTCAGCTGGGTAATACACGGCTCCGTCAACGAGAGTCAATGTAGGCAGGTGAAGTAACGTAGTCGGCAAAACAAGTATCTCTACCATTACCGTCCGTAATAATCTGATATATTGGGCCAAGACCTAAGACTATTCCTGTAGTTATCGCGGTGTGTGGGAGGCCTGCTGCTCTTGTGAGTGTTATACCAAAATAGCATTTCACGATAATTCCATATCTATTTCGTCCTTAAGTATTATGTATGTAACGTTATCTTGGCCGTATGTAGAATATAAATAGTTCTTTAATAGTGTAGATACATAAGAGGGGATAGTATTTCACTAGATTAATTATTTAAAGAAAAGTAACTCGCCGGCGCATATGGTCAAGTTCACATACTCGTCTCACAACACAACCTTATAGTTAAACGACACGTCACCATAATCAACGTATTTCATCGACACCGGTATTAATGTTAAAACTACACTGGTCCGGTTTTCCACGGTGGTACCAGTTGCTTCACAGCGCCTAGCCCACCACTTATCTGTGTACTTCGTACCGCCAAACGAACGAACCACCTCAGCGTTCTTACAACCTTGTAGTGGAGGGTGATAATCGCACCTCGAATTTCCTAACAGGTTTAGACATTGATGTTGCAGCCTTCCATCCTGTGTGGGTGAACTAATCATATGGCCGCAAGTGCCAAGACATTCGATTAAATGAATAAAGCCTCGACTTCATAATGGTATTTTATAACACTAGACCACTAATACTGCTTCATGGTCGTTCTCTAGACCACCAATACTGCTTCATGGTCGTTCTCTAGATCACCAATACTGCTTCATGGTCGTTCTCTAGACCACCAATACTGCTTCATGGTCGTTCTCTAGACCACCAATACTGCTTCATGGTCGTTCTCTAGACCACCAATACTGCTTCATGGTCGTTCTCTAGATCACCAATACTGCTTCATGGTCGTTCTCTATATGCTTCATGGTCGTTCTCTATACTGCTTCATGGTCGTTCTCTAGATGCTTCAAAGTGCTTCATGATCGTTCTCTAGATACTGCTTCATGGTCGTTCTCTATACTGCTTCATGGTCGTTCTCTAATGTATTAGATAAATAGATAGACCACCAATACTGCTTCATGGTCGTTCTCTAGACCACCAATACTGCTTCATGGTCGTTCTCTATAAAGTAACGGAAAATATTTACTCTATGCTTTTCGTTTTTATTTTCCTCGTGTAAAATAATGATATCGTAATAATGCTATTGTTGTAAATAGATAAATAAAATCAGATTTAATTAATAACACCTTACTATAACTTGAAGTAAAAACAGAATGTCAACACACCGAATATTCAATTTATTTTAAGCAACCTGTTTACTTCTCAATGATTTTCTCCCGTACACAATATTTATGAAGCGGCAACTCATCTGGAGGATTACCACCACCCTCCTACCGTGCTGAACAAGTACACCTACCCCTCTATATCTAATAATCACTAAAGTAATACAATGCACAAGAATACTTAATGTCGTTCAAAATATTATTTGTGGTATTATTTGATAAACTTTCATCACGGAACAATGTACGAGGAAGATTTTTCTATTATCAGGAACCAACCTATCCGATATATCAACGTGTCTCAAGCTACTGGTTATTTTTAATTCCACCGGACCCTGGGATCTTGATACACCTCTACTGACTGAGGTATTGTACAGTACCTTCTATAATCATGTCATGGCGGGGGGTGGGTGAATGTTTCCGCTCGGGGTAGTTACAATCATTGTATTCTGTTGTGTTTGGAAAGGAGTCTGGCGAACGTGAAAAGGTGGAGGTGAATGCCTGGCACTAGTGATCGGTCATTTAGGTTTAAGAAAGTATACAATGTCCTCTGTGACGCTTATTTGTCCACCTGCTCCACACTGTCAATATGGTAGAGAACGACGGGAGACGCACACGGTGGACGGGAACGCTGCTTTTTTTTTTTTTTTTTTTTTACAGGATTAGATCACCAGGGCACAGGGAAGGGCATTGACCCACATTGGGACCTGGGGGGCGAAAATAAAATAATAATAATAATAATAATAATAATAATAATAATAATAATAATAATAATAATAATAATAATAATACTGTAGAGACATAAATATGAAAAAAAATTCAAGAGTGAGAAACGATATACAGTATATATGTTGTGTTGTCAAAGTAAGAGAAACAATTGAGACCCTGCAATAGTGTGTAAATGAGGCAAAAAGTCAGATGAGCAACCTGAGACTGGGTCACAATTTTGGTGATGCCATATGACAGCAGGGTCTACCATTAGACAACACATTATGCTTCCAATATCTTCCCAGGCGGTAGTACATCCCTGTTTGATAGCTGCCGAAGTGGACGACTAATTCATTACTCTGTACTAGAAGACAAAAGCGGGTTGTCATTCCTGCGGTCTACGCCGGTCAAAACGAAATTGTATTCATTAGTCTTTAGAATCTAGAGACAGTCTTCAGGTCCTTCTATATCTTGGTGGCCCATAGACAAGACGGCTCCACACACACATGCATTCCCTCTCCTCCCTGGTTCACCGTACACACACACACACCCTCTCCTCCTGCCTCTTACAACAACCTTTGTTTACAGTCTGGCGCAACAGCTGACCAAGATGGCTCCCAGGCTGTGCCCAGATTCTCAAAAAGCTCGTCATGGTAATTTTTCCATACCGAGATGATGTGAGAAGGCGTCCTAAACTGGCTCACCCAATTCTGGCCTCAGATTCTTATTCCTTCGAGAGATGATTTTAGTTTGTTTGTTTTTTCTCCGTGGGTGATAATGTGAAACAAGCATCTTGTTGATTTTACCGAGGTACTGAGGTAGTTATTCAATTACATCCCTAAACTGTGATACGAGTTAACAAGGGGCCGTATTCAAGATCGTTTTACGTGGGCTATCCTCACACTGAGCTTTGCCCAAGCCGTGGGCGGTGGTCGTATTCTAGGTGGTACAAATTATGGGGTTTGTGTGGGACTTGCTGCAGGTCTGCCATCATAGGAAAAAGGGAGTGTTGGTAAGCTGGAGGCAAACAGCTGACCACAATTACTGTTAGTTGTGGGTAATAAAAATCAAGTAAAGATATACAGAATCAATAGAATGATCATATATACTGTATCGTACAAAGTACAAATCTTGTGGTATTTTTGTACAAGTTGCCCATAATCAGCTGAATCACTGCATGTCATCTGTTGGTTTACAATTGACCTGCTCGGTCCAAGCATATTCTCACGTCCACATAAAATGTGTGTGTGTGTGTGTGTGAGGTACAGTAAAGACTTCAGCATCAGTATTGACTCAACCCTGACCTGGGCTAACATGCTACAAGTATTGAAATATTTCGTTCATTTCAGATATACTATTTTAAAAATATATCACAAGTAAAAATATTGACAACTAAAGAGAAATCTTCCTGGAGTGTGTCAAACAACCCATACTGTAATGTTAGTTATGGGCAATAAGAATAAAGATATACTAATTCAACAGAATTATCAAATGTATCGTCTATATTAGTGGCAAGTGAGTACACAAATGTGGGTGTTAGATTATAGTAGGCCTAAAGACATTAACAAAATTGAAGGGATATTTCTATAGTAAGTCCTTCCTCTATATTCCCACTGGATTCATCAATGGGTATCAAATTTGCTCTTATTTTTAGGTAATCAAACGTGAAATATAAATTCTTTGGGGGTAGAGTATAAAGGTTTAACGCCACATCCGTCCTTTTTCGTCACCGAGGTTCATCATATATGTATGCTGATTATTTTTCCGACTATACTAGAAGCATTGCAACATATGTGTAATTACAATTATGTTAATAGTCAACATTGATTAAACCCTAAGGCCTTGCTGAGGGCGGCCACCCCCTTCTCACGAAAATTCCAGTAATACCCGTGATCAATGCTCAGTTTGCTCACGCCGCGAGCAATGCCCACCCTTCTTGAATGCAAAAATGAGGATTCCTTTGAGGAAAGCCCACGTAAAACGAGCTTGAATACGAACCAAGACCTCAAGAACAACATAATTCGGACATCGGCAAGCAGAGAGGAAGCACTTTTAGACGAGTACGATAAAATATTAGAACTACCAACTCACCTTGAACCAATAGACGACGTTGCTGACATCTAGCGGCTTGCGGCCTCTCCTGGACTCGAGGGCGTTGAGCTCAGCCACGTACTGCTGAATCTGGGCCAGGAACAAAATAGTAATACTTAATAGTTGTTATTAAATTGATGTTTTTGGAAAGGTGAATAGTGTTGGAAAAATCGGGGAAGTTTACTTAATCTTCATATTGTTAAACTGGGATAAAGGAACAACTGAAGAGAGAGAGAGAGAGAGAGAGAGAGAGAGAGAGAGAGAGACTGAAGTTTGATTTTACTATGTATGGTCGGACGAAGCCATGTCATATACAGTAAATTCTAACAAACATATAAACATTCACATTATATAAACACAACGATATTAGGTAAATACTCGGCTCTTTGTACACCCATTTTTACATCACACACATAGTTATATACAGTACATCCATATAATACCTTTAACACCACCAACAGCTTATACAGTCTGCCACCAACTAGTCCTGATCATGGAGGATAATTACTAACACTAACCAGTCAAACAAACCAGTAATTGACTGTCCTCACACACCCATGATGTAGTAGTAATACACCACCACACAACCGTCTACTACCACGAATAAAAGTACAAGTTCCTTCTTTTCATGGCAGATATTGTGATTCCGTGCAGCATTGTCATTACACAATTCCTACCACCACCACTACTACAAATATTTCAACTTCATATCCTCAAACACTTGAACATAATGCCAACAATCACACAAATTCATACACACTACAAAACAAATCCACAGCCATGAAAATCTCTTGAACACAAACCAGAAACAGTCACCACACACATCCACAAATATAATAACCTCACAAATCCAACCACACCGATAAAAAACACAAACCCACATAGCTATAACTCACTCAAATACATACACCCAAACTTACACAAACACAAACTGCCACACAAACCCACACATACAATCCCCCAGTAAATGTATAGATAACTGAATCACAATAAGGAACAGCTTTATGAAAATAATCTATAGATAAAAACTTTTTTCTTATGTCTAGAATACCCAGAAAAAAGGTGGAGGAATTACAACTTTCTTATATTTGTTTGTCTCTATTTGGCATTATGTTAGAATCGGTTATCTGGGGAATCTTAGGAATTTAGGTCAGGTTAGATATAATTCCTGGGTTCTGTAGCTAGGTTAGGTAAGGTTTGGATATCTAAATACAGGATTGACCGAAACTAGAATTTTATCCTCTAGATTCTATGAAGAGCAAATAAAAACTATCCATTGCACGCTTGATGGACGCCATATTCTCACTCATTCTGTTGACAATTAAGTAAGGTAACAACAACCTAACCATTCTACCTGACCTATGAATGCACTTCCATCTAAGGTAAATTAGGTAGGTTTCTTTTATTTATCCTGTCCACAATAAATGACCATACGCTGGAGAGCATATATTGGTCAGGTATGAAACGCTGCAAAGTTTTCTGTAGATAATTTTCCTGAAGTTGTTCCTTCTCACGAGTCGGTTATCTAAAGTATTACCCAAACACACAATGGTACAAGTATGCAATGCAACGTACACAGACGAAATAAACCTAAACATACCCATGAAGCTACACAAACCCACGACCACAGAAACCCACACAACTACACAAATTCACAATCACAAAAAATACAAACACACACAGACAACCAAAACCAACCAACAATTACAAACTCACAATCTTTTAATTAGAGAAATCCACACAAACAAACTACAATAAACCCACAAAGCCCACACAACTACACAAACTCAAGCAATCAACCATACAAACCCACCCACACCACCAACACCCACCCACACCACCAACACCCACCCCCGCAGAGGACGCACCTGTAGCCTGGTGGGGTGTTGATTTTCAGCGAACCATCTCTGGAGGCGGGGCAGCTCCAGCTCAGGGTCGAAGCTAGTCCTCATCCTTGTCTTCTGGGGTCCATACTGGCTCGTCACGGTCTGAAACAAGGTCAGGTCAGAGGTTAAGGTCAATGTCAATTTAGTTTAAGGTTGAAGTTTAAATACGGGAAAGATCAGGGTAGTATTAGGGTCACATAAGACATTGATCAAGGTTAAATAAATTCAGGGTTAAGGTCATATGAAATCAGGGTCAAGGTCAAATAAGGTCAGCAGGGATGGTATTGAGTGGGTCACATAATAAGAACGCAATTAGTGACACTGTACCATTTTAAGACATTTATTAATAGCCTATAGTATGTGCATAACCTTACTAAGACAACAAATGAAACACTAGTGACGATAAATTAATTCACTGAAGCACCAATTACCGGACATTTGTTCAGTGACACACAATAACAAAGCTTTGGCGGTTCACTTTCACACACGTAAATACTGTTTCTTATATCGAATCAAGAATGACAACTTTGTTTTCTTACCAGACATAATATCATTGTTAAAATCCTGCAGTACTGATTTCTCTCACAGCACCACCAGCCAAGTCTCAAGTTTACAAGTATTTTCCAGTCGATCCACCAGTTGCTCCTCACAGCGACTATAAAGTACTGAATCTCTACCCTTCACTGACCTTATTCTTTTGTCTGTGTTACCCCGGGATGACGAAACAGCTGAACATCGTAACTACAGGTGTTCAGTCGTTCATTTAATATCTTTTTACTGTGAATTTGATTTAATTTATGTTTATATAAGAATATTTTGTTATTAATTCTTATCAACATTCGTAAGTTTTTTCTTTCGTTTTATTTTGGTAGAAATTCTTTGTTGGATCTCTGTTTTAATAAACCTTGCTTGTAAAACAGTTTATGATTTATGTTGATCACACACACACACACACACACAGTTTACAGTCAGCCTACCCTTTAACAGTGTCGTTTCATCACTCATCTATGGCACTTTATCATGAACATCAATTTCAATAACATCATGAACATCTTATATTTTTTATCCGTCAATTTGGGTTGTGGTACAAATCTGATCTTACTATAAAACGCCATAATTGTTATGATTTATTATGTGTATTTAATTGAAATTTTATTGGGAATTTTTGGTTTTATGATCAACAGTTATTTGTATCGTGTGAATGACATCTTTTGACGCTTTACACAACTGACGATATTAATAGTAATAATGAGACTACTTCTACTACTACTACTACAACGACTACTACTACTACTAACAATAATAATAATAATAATACAGACGTCGACAATGCTAAAAAAAAGTAAATGATGACTAAAAATTGACCATTGCCAACAATAAGCCGCAGAAAACAAAATTCACGCGCGAAAAACATCCATTAGCCAGGTCAGGAAAAGCGCGGCTGTTAGGTTGACTAAACACAGCAAAAAAAATATCAAGTTTTCAGTGATTAATTTTTACCGATATTCAACCCAGATTAGCAGAGAACATTAGATTCAAATGTTTAACCCCTTCACTACGCGGGGACGCCACTTTTAATATCTCATTTGGTTAACGCCAGGCGACTTAATTCATCTCAGAGACGACACCATACACACAAGGGGTTAAGGATTGATCTCAAACTCATAACTCAAACTGACAGAAGACATATATTCAAGTGTTTAGGGATTTATTCACATCGACCGTCAACCCGGATTGACAACACGAAAACGCTCTTGCTTCACGTTTTCTGTGTTGGTATGAAGACGGAAACTGAAGGAATTTATGCTACTTACTAAAAACCGCTGATGTAGTAACAATGAAAGCAAGGGCACTAAAAAGTCAATAAAAAATCAATCTTTATCAAATAAAAAAGTAGCGAAATACATTAAAACATGATAAAACGGCAATTTATACGCACACTCGGTATTTTGGCGCCAATAACAAGAGCAACAACAAAAGAGAAACATGCCTAAATTAAATTCGACCATTGCTTGTGTTTACGTCGAGGCTAACCAGTTCGAAATCGCGTTAGATAAAATAAAATATTAATTTGCGTTCAGGAAGCGAACAAAAATATATATTACATTGATCTCATAACTACGCTGGATTATATTGATTGTCGATGGGGGAAGAGGTACAATATTTTTTTTTTGTGGGGGCGGCAGTGGGCGGGGCGTGGTGAGGGTGGGATGGGTGGATGGGGTTTAACACTATTTGGTATTGTGGTATTTATTTAGCTATTAATTTATTTTGAGGTATTAATACTTTTTTTTCGTTTTCAGTGTGTGTGTGTGTGTGTGTGTGTGTGTGTGTAATTTGTTTTTGTCGCTGTTATGGTGACATGTGTTTGTTGCTGTTATTATTATTGTTGTTATCACAGTCGTATTATTATTATTATTATTATTATTATCACAGTAATATCCTATTATTTCTACAGTGACAATTTATATTACTACTCCTTTACTGCTACTACTACTACTACTACTGAGATTAGTACTGTAGTAATAATAATAACAGTAGCAGCGTTAATGATAATGATACTACTACTAGTAGTAATTCCTGTTGTTGTTGTAGTGAGACTGAATACAAATCAACAACATAAAAATCACCTTTTCGATGTTTACAAATTTTCCAAACACTTTAGATAGTCCTACACTGCATCGAGGTATGTTCACATTACTGGAACGGTGGAACACTTGGTCATTCTTACCTGTATAGCTGGGTGGAGAGGCTCAGGTTGCATCTTCTCAATGGAGTGTGGGCGAGCGTGCACGTGGTGTGGGGGCGTCATCACATGGGCGGAGGGTGGTGGGCGTGAGACGTGGGCTACATGCACCGCCCACCATGCCTCGAACTGCCTGGCGGACTCCTCGCTCACCTCCCCAGACCCTCGGATCAGTGCTGACAACAAGCTCTGTGGGGGAAGGACAAGGGAGGGGGGGAGTTAGGTGAGGTGATTTTGAGGTTAACTTGTAAGTATTAGTACATTCGATTAAGGTGGTGGCAGCCAGAGCATGCAGTACTGTACGGTACGGTACGGTTGTGAGGCTGATAAAGGTTCGGTTCGATATTACAGTTCGCTAATTTTTTCAATGTTCGGTACGGTACGAAAGTACGATTAATTTTTCGTACTTTTATCGTACCATTTCGAACCAAGGCACGTGGCCAGGACAATAGCTTGGGGCGATGCAGGTGTGTTCCAGCCTTCAGGCCAGGTCAGGTGAAGCCGTAAAGTCAGGCCAGGTTCAGGTCAGATCCGGCCACACTCAGTGAGCCAGTGAGACCCAAAAAATTACATTGCCCCAGGGGGATGTCATTACCAGCTGAGACACACACACATACACACACACACACACACACACTGACACATTCTCCTCTGGGTGCCAGTGTCACAAGCTAGTGTCGAACAAACCTTTTCCGGTTTTCGCTATATATTGCAAGAAAGTCGGCTGGGACTCAAGGCAGACATTATTGATGCTATTGTGATGTTGAGTTGCAACACATAAAAAGTAGTTTTTGTGGACAAAGGACAGAAAATTAAATAAAATGTGTAATTTATCATTAATGTGTTAGAATATTATATATTATTATGTTAAGAATAAAATACTAAAGTTAATAATATATTTATTCTTGCTTTGTCACACTTTAAATTGGGCTACATTTTGTTGGGGGGCGGGGAGGACGAAATCACGGTACGGTATTTTTCCTTTGGTACGAATTGCGATAAATCAATCGTACCGTACCGAACTGCCCGCTCTGGCACACACACACACACACACACACACACACATCTATCTACCAGAAAGTATAAACAAACATGAATCTTCCCGCTACAAACAAGCAAACAAACATAATGTATCCATCAAAGAAATGTAAATACGTTGATCTTATGGCCAAAAAATGTGTAGACAAGAAATAATACTCAACAAAAAGGTTTATTTCGAAACGTTTCTCTGATTGCAAAAAAGTTCAAACAAACATAAATAATCCCCAAAAGTGTCAACAAAAAACCTACTCCTTAAAAAAACTGCAAACACAAACAAAACATATCCACAAAAAAGTGTAAACAAATAAATATAACAGCAAAAACATAAGTGAGAACAAACAAAATATACCTCATGAAAAAAGGCAAACACAAAATTCACCCATCAAAAAATATATATAAGCAAACAGATCTACCCATTATAAACACTGCAAACACAAAACATTGACACATATGACACAGCCAAACAGTACAAATATAAACAAATGCAATAACAAAAATCTACCCATTAAAAAAATAAAAAATCCCCACCCAATCGAATGTAAACAAATAAAAAAATCCCCACCCAATCGAATGTAAACAAATAAAAAAATCCCCACCCAAACAAATAAACAAAACACTCACCAGAAAAAACAAAGACAAACAAACAACCCCAAATCTTAACCACAACCTTAAAACAAAAATATCTTTACAGTGACATGTCGTGGAGCAGGCTGGTGACCCCCTTAAATAATCGGTGCATTTATCTGCGCCTGTCCCTGTGACGTAAGGATCAGCAACGCGGCAGAGAGTTATCCCCAGATACCGTCAGCATGAGGCGGACCACGTCGGGATTACCACCGGGATTTATCTGATTTACAACTGCCTTCAGGAGACATTCACAGGCGCCTACACACTCAAGAGGGGGGGTTATACTCCTCCTGGTGGTGGTGATGCTGCTATTATTGTCTCCGTGTTAATGTTTGAGTGGCTGTGTGTGTGTGTGTGTGTGTGTGTGTGTGTGTGTGGTATCTCTGTTTGGAACCCTGTGTTGGATGTGTGTGTCAGTCAGTTGGCAGCCCTGTGTTGTAAGAGTGTCAGTTGGTAGCCCTGTGTTGTAAGAGTATCAGTTGGCAGCCCTGTGTTGTAAGAGTATCAGTTGGCAGCCCTGTGTTGTAAGAGTGTCAGTTGGTAGTCCTGTGTTGTAAGAGTGTCAGTTGGCAGCCCTGTATTTGTAAGAGTGTCAGTTGTCAAGTCAACGATCATTAGGCATGCTCGTCTGTCGATCTGTCTGTCGATCTGTCTGTCTGCTCTATCCATACACTTCATATTACTAACTAACCCAACCACCGTTAATCTTAAAACACAATATACATATCACACCAGCAGCCAACACTGCTCAGTTGACGGTGGGGAACGACTGGTAACCCAAACTCTCGTACGGCATGGAGACTCCGGTAGAGATTAGTTTGGTTCTAAGAGAATATTAGTTTGTTGTTGTTATATTTTCTTTTCACTCTCCTACTATTCATTTTATTTTCTCCTTCTTCCCCTTCTCCTCTTTCTCCTCTTTTTAACTCTCTTAGTTTCCTTTCTTTTACTTTTCTTTCCTCTTCTTCACCATTTTCTATCATCCTTTTATTCCTCCTCCTACTCTTCTTCTTCCCTTCCTATTCTCCCTTCCTCCACCACCTCTACCTTTCTCTTTCTCCTGTTGTTTCCTCTTCCTTCTTTCCTCGTCTTGCCCTCAATTCCCTAACCCAACTGTAAGCTGTTGTTTGTATCATGTCTACAGCACAAGAGAGAGACAGACTGAGCTCAGCCAATCAGTATCCACGATCAGCTTCTTTCTCCGGTTTTCTAATACGCGACATTTTTAGGAATCTATGATAATCCCAGAAGTAAGATTGCTCCTTCAGTTGTACGGGCTTATTTGGTTTGCTTTTTCATCAAAATTCGTAGGAGAAAAGATGTTTGATTGAGATTTCTTAATATATGTATCAGAAAATTCAAAATTGTATCTATTTTAAACTACATCAATTTTGTTGTTGTTTTTTGTGTTTGAGTGTTGATATACTTATTGTACGTATAATCTATATAGTAATTAGTATATAGAACCAAACATTAACGATAGATGTAGAAGTAAGGATAATGTCTTAATATTTACTTCATTACAAACTATGAAATATAATGAAGAAAAAAATTTAATCACCTGTAGTCACTCTGAAACCTTTTGGCTATAATGACCATATATACTTATTCATAAATTACAGTATAATTACAACAAATACAAAACAATAACTCATATTTAAAATAAAAAAATCACGTTCCAATCTGACGTAAAAAACAAATTATCCGATCAAGAAGAAGCAAACAAAACGTACTAAAGCTCAACTAAATTACCCGTGGCAGGATACGAACCCACATTCGCCAGCTTCACAGAGCCAAGTTGCAGTTGTGGGGATGAGCGTCTGCCCTAAATGCTAACAACCGGCTTAAGAGGCGATATTGTAAACTCTATTCAGACGAACCTCAGTCGCCCCTGAGTCCTGAGTCGGCCATTGGAAAACCACGCTGAAGGACGAGGTCATCTACTCCCTCCTCCCTTCCTCCCACCTTTTCCTCATCCCCCCCCACACACACACCGAGGACATGGTGGGGGGAGGAGGGGTGATTGTTGTTTAACTTGTATACTTGTAGGTGGAGATACGGCTGAGAGTATGGTGATGGGGAGGAGGAGAGTATGGTGATGGGGAGGAGAGTATGGTGATGGGGAAGGAGGAAGAGGGAGGAGAGTATGGTGATGGGGAGGGAGGAAGAGGGAGGAGAGTATGGTAGAAAGAGGTGAAGTAAAAGAAGAAAGAGCAGGATAAGAAAACGAAGAATAACTAGAGAGACGTAAGAAGGAAAAACAAAATATAATAAATACGACAAAGAAAGAGGAGAGGAAACACATGGAGAAGATAATGTGATAATAATAATAATAATAATAATAATAATAGAGAGAAAGAGAGAGAAAGAGAGGAGGACAAACAAGACTTGTCGTCCCATAAGCTGAGCCAAGTTACACTGTGTTGAGATGATCGTCTTCTAAGGAGTGTACAGTATTATCGTTTGATTCTGAACATAAAACAAAACATTTTTACTCAAGTCCACACATGTTTTTGTTTCTGTTTTTTTTTTGTTCTAATGTTTGTAAATAAATCACCGTAGTTTTTTTTGTAAATAATTATCAGTGATTGATCTTAATAGTTGTAAATAACGTCTGTCTGTAAATCAACATAGATCCGTAGGTCAATGGATTCTGAGATGTGTAACAGGCGTGAAGGTCTAACTATGGCGTGTATAAGAGGCGTGGCAGAGCGTGTGATTTGAAGTTACGAGGAAACAACAAGAATGGATTTCAAATGGTCCTTGGTTTTCTTACAAATGCCCCCTCCCGCCGCTTCTATCATGCATTAACCTTATTCAACTGCGTTCTTCCTCATGCATTAACCTTATTCAACTGCGTTCTCTTCTCATGCATTAACCTTATTCAACTGCGTTCTTCTCTCTCTCTCTTCTCTCATCATTCCATTCACTCTCTTCTTCTCTTCTTCTCTCTCATCGTCGATAAAGATTAGTAAGAGAATTAATTGAAAGGGCGACAGCACAACGTATTAAAAAGACCAGCAAAGGATTGTAGGGTAAGCGTCTTAGTGAATCACTGTTAAACGATCTGAACACAATTGCTCGGTAAATGTAGGGGAGGAGGAGGTGGAAGAAGAGGAGGAGGAGAAGAGAAGAGGGAGGAGGAAAAAGAGGAGTAGAAGAGGAGGAGGTGGGGAAAGAAGACGAAGAGGAGGTGGTGGAGGAGACGAAAGGGTGGAGGATCGTGAGGAGAAGGAAAAGGAGGAAGAAGAGAAGGAGATGGGGAAGGAAGAGAAGGAGGAGGAGGGAAGGAAGAGGAGGACCAAGATGAGGACGAAGAGAGAAAGGAAGAGGGGACCAGGAGAAAGAAGAGGAGGAAGAAGAAAATGAGAAGAATATAGGAAGAGGAAGACGACCAAGAAGAGGAGGAGGTGAAAGACCAAGAGGAGGAGCAAAGGGGAAAAACAAAAGGAAAACCAGGAAGAGGAGGTTGAAGAGAAGGAGGTAGAAGAGGAGGAGGAAGAAGAGAAAGAAGAGGAAGA